GCGGGGCCCCCCCCCCCCCCCCCCCCCCCAGCCATAGGGCCAAGCAGGGCAGCATCACACCAAGCAGTTTATCTGGAGCAGGGGGCAAGCGAAAAGAATGGACTGGTGCCCTCTGCCTTCTGCCCACGCTCCCCTGAGCCTCTGCCACAACCCTGTAACCAGTATGTCTATATGGGGGGGGGGGAGGGCACACAGGGGAATGAATAGGGCACCAGGGTCAGTTGACGGGGTGGCTGCTGCCTCTGTTGCTGCTGCTGCTGCTGCTGCTGCTGCTGGAGTGGAGCAGATGCCATTACAGCAGTGGCAGTGGCAACAGTAGCAGCAGCCCGGAAAAGTAAGCCTTTGCTTCTACACATATTTGTCTGTGCATTTGCTCATACCCTACCCACAGGGGTGGGCAATTATTTGGGTCAATGGGCCACATAGGGAGTTTTGATGAGCTGTTATAGGCTGGGTCTCCCAACCCCAACAACTCACCAAAACTCCCTATGAGGCTTTGGGTTGGTGGAGAGCAGTGTTCAGGAGTGGGACAGGTTTGATCCACTCCCTGCATGCCCTGCCCTGTGGGGGGGAGGTGGCAGGGGGCTGTATGGGGATGAGTGGAGGGGGCATGTGCACATGTGAGGGGCTGCGTAGGAGTCAGCCATGGGTGAGGGGGTGGCAGGGGTTGTATTGAAGATGTGTCATTTGAGTGTGGGGGGACCTGCCTGGGAGCCAGCCAAGAGAAGGGAGGGAGAGGCAGGGGGTATGTGCAGTAGAGTTTGTCCAGTCAAGAGCTCTCTCTGCAGAGCTTCATGTGGGACTGATCCCTGCCCAGGGCAGCCAGTGCCATGCTCCCACCCAGCCCCATCCTGGGTCCCGGCCAGCACACAGCTTCTGGTGAGGTTGTTCCTGGCATAGCTACAGCTTCCCAGGCTCGCATTGTCACCAGGAGGCGAAGGGAGCAGAGCGACACCCAGCCAGCTGCAGCCATACCGGAAGCTGCACACTGGCTGGGGCTGGTAATGCTGTTCTGCTTTCGTCACCTTCAGCTGTAGCTGCTGAAGCTTCCCCCCACCCAGCTGCCTGGACCAGCATGGTGCAGCACAGCAGGGGCAACAGCAGGAGTCACAGCTAGAGGTGAGGGGAGCAGAACAGCCCCTCTGGCCCCAGCCCTGGCCAGCATGCAGCTTCCAGTGGGGCTGTTTCCAGTGTGGCTGCAGCTGGCCAGGTGCTGCTGTGCTCCCCTTGCCTCCAGTGGCCACTCTTCCTCCTCCCCCTTGCTGCACCATTCCAGGTGGGCTGGGGGGGGCAGGGGAGCTTCACCCCGACTTTTCCCATTGGAGGTGTGAAGAGCAGAGGAACGTCCAACCAGCTGCAATGACACTGGGAACAGCCTTGCCAGAAGCTGCACAGTGGCTGGGGCTAGGGCTGGCAGGAGATGGGCATGGCCATGGACTGCCCCAGTGGGCACAGGTGGGATTCAGCCCCATGTGGAGCACTGCAGGGGCAGTCATGAGCCAGATCCAGCCAGTTGGCAGCCAGACCTTGCCTATGGGCCTAATTTTGCCCACTTCTGCCCTACTGTCTACGGTGGTCGGGTCATACCCACACCCCTTCCCCACACTCTGGGCACTCAGCAAGCTCCATGGTTTTCTGTATTTTACTCTCATCTGAAGTGTAGAACTTTAAGACATAAAACTTGAAAATGCATAGTGAGAAAATCCGCCGATGCAATAAGAAAAAGCTGGGAGTATGGGGTAGAGGGGGTTAACCATGTTTATCAAAGACCTCACAATATGTCAAGAGCAAGTTTGTTGCATGGAAGGACTTAAAACTGAAAGGCAGACTTATGCATCTTGGAGAAAAATGGAAGGATAGGATACAGATTGGAAAGTGTATCATTCATTAAGTCCTTGACTAATTAATACTCTTCAGATAAGAACCAGCTAAAATAAAATCAAACAGAGGAAAAAGAACAAGAATATCATTCTTTCGAATATAGCTGTTCTTATCAATTTTTTAACCTACAACAGTAATGAAGGTATTTGTGTCTGCAGTAGAAAATACCAAACTTGTTGAATCCTTCATACCTATTGGTAGTAACCTCTAGATTTGGTTCTACATTACTGAAAATGAAGTACAAAAGAGCCTATCATGCTAAAAAAATATTTTTAAAAATATAGCCAAAAAATTCCAGAAGTTACACAGAGATGGGTAATTCAATATAAATAAATCTTGAAATTTAGTAGGGTCCATAGCTGTATTGGAAAGCTTTATTCTAACATAATAATTAGTTTTTATAAATATATACATCCATGTGTGAGCTCTTATCTTTAAAACGACAAAGCACAAATAAATTTTAAAATGTAATAGTTCCATGCTTGGTCTATAAAGTACCTCATGAATATGCAAATTACCATGGATCAGATCCTAATAATATTACGTAAGCATTCCAGTATATGAAAAATGCACGTGTGTGTGCGTGCATGTGTGTGTGCTGGTTCTTGAGCCTTTTGGATGCACTGGGTCACATTTACAAGTTTTAATTCCCTATCATGAAAGCTAAAACTTTTTTTTTCTTAAAATAAAAGGTGAAATTCATGTAATACTATTATTCCTCAAGCTGGAATCCACTAATTCTGTTAAATACAACAAGGAAATTCTTTGAATAATATCAATGGGATGATTATAGTACAAGAAAGGATATCAGAATCCCACCTGATACAGAATCCAATTTTGCCACATACACTCATTACTCACCATATGTAAATTAGTGGAATTACCTGCGGACTGTAATATTAGTTGTTGTGATTAAATGTATTAGTTGTTGTGATTAAATTAAAGAAGTATTAGACCAGCTTCTTGAGGAAATAAAATAGACTGATTTTCAAATAATTTTAGTTACTGTACTTTTGCTCTTAAAGGCATCTTTATAGTCTGTGTGGGGGTTTTTTTGTTTCTACCTCAAGCACTTCCTTTCTCTTCTGTATAGGAAGAGCCATTTGTGATGGTATCCGAAAATGTTTTGGGGAAACCGAAGAAATACCAGGGCTTCTCAATAGATGTCTTGGAAGCCTTAGCCAATTATCTTGGCTTTAAATATGAAATTTATGTTGCACCAGACCACAAGTATGGAAGCCCCCAGGAGGATGGGTCATGGAATGGACTGATAGGAGAACTAGTGTTTAAGGTAAGAATATTAATAATTTATTAAATTAAAGGTGTATAATTAAACCAATAAATATGAAACTTATTTACTGATTTTGCATCATTGGGTGGTTCACCTGATGGTTTAGTGATGACATTTTGTGTGATGTTCACCGACTACACTAACAGAATCTGCTCATACTACCAAGGCCCTGGAGAAGGTGAACAGGATCTGAAGATGGAATGATTTATCAGTGACCCCTGGTGGCCAATTAAATGGTATTAGCAGTTTCTCAGTCATCCATTATTACACTGTGGGTTTAAATAAGGCAGAATAGTGGGGGCCCCTCAACATCCTAATTAATTTGGTAAGACCTGGCATAAGCAAGAAGAATATATTGTTTTAGATGTGAAAACGCATTATAGTAATTAGTAATAAACAATATCAATTATGTATAGCACTTAGAGAAATATTGGTGAGATTAATAAATTAAGTATGTAATCAACAAATCTTTTACTGATGTATAATAGTAATTTCATTATACAGTTATATCAATCAAAGGCTTTACAGAATTAATCTGTAATTAATAAACCATTTGATACATTTCAGTTTATAGTAAATGTTTAAGATCATAACACAACTAAATTAAACCAAATGAAAATAGTGCATTTCACTTTTTCATCGATCTCATCTAATCTGATCCTTTGCCTTCACCTTCCCTGATTTGAAATTGAAGATAATACCTTTTCAGAGATACCCTGCAAACTTCATAGATAGCGGTAAAGTTTCCCTATGAATTTTACCACCCTAACTTCTGTTGGTATCTGTGGAACAAATTTTGGTTGGGGTCCTTGAATGTGTGGCTCTCCCATTCCCCACCAGAACAAGGCAAAGATCTATTCTCTGTCTTTTCTATCACTGATGCTTGTCTGCTGGAACTTCTCAAGGTACGCTGTAACTCTGTGGAATACAAAAATAGAGAAAGGGAGGTACCATTACTGTACGGCTTGAGAATATCAATATGGGAATGTAGGTGAAAGCTACTAAACTATACTATTTCACCTCTATTGCTGCTGTTGAGCATCTACAGAGGCATATGGCCAGTGCAAAAAAAGGTCCAGCTGAAGTCACAGCCTACCAGCTGCCTGTGAAGCATAGCTTCAGCCTCTCTCAATACAGGGCCCCAGTAGACCTATGCTATCACTGGGCCCCCCCTCTACATGTTACAAGTATCACACAATTACCAGGTTAATTATGCAATTTAGACCAGCTACACATGCAAATTTACTATTGCACCATAAAAGGTCCAACCATCTATAAAGTTATTGCTGTAAAATGTACAATAAAATCTATTCAGCATTCATTTTGCATGTATAGCAGGGTCTGCTTCTAGGGCTGGGAGCCCAGTCAGCTGACAGAGTTCCCAGCCAGTGCACCACGCACAGCCAGGGCTGAGAGTCCCACAACTGAGGGTACTCTCAGTCCTGGCAGCACCCAGCAGCTGTGGACTCTGAGTCCCAGTAGTGCCCTGCATCTGCTGGAACCCAGAGTCCTCAGCTGCAGGACTCTTGGTCCCAGTAGTCATGGGCCACTACTTCAATTTCCCAGCCCCAGGGGTGCCCCCCATGGCTGGGAGCTCTTTCAGCTGAGGGGGCTCTCAGCTACGGGAGCTTACTTCCGTGGGACTGGCATTAGCGCCCAATGAGTTCTAATGCCTGATTCCACAATCACTCATTAGATCCCATCACATCTTTACCTGCACATGGAGATGGGGCCTGGTTGTATCACTCTGTAGATGCTCAATAATACCTGCAGAAGAGACCTAGAGATAATGCAACCTTCAGAAACACTTCAGGAAGATATAAGAATGACTAAGGTTGTTTCCAACCTTCCAAAAACCACTTCAAATTGACCTGGGTGAATCTTTCATTTATTAAGTGTGGGTGCAATACACCCCCCCCCACTGCATGGGGGATGGAGCACGGTACTACTGGAGCCCCTGGACTGGCAGGTGACACTGGAGAGGCAGGCAAGAAGCAAACACATAAAGGCAAGGCACTTGCCTGCCACTGGTTTTGTCTGGCTGACCTGGGAGCTTTGGGGAGGGGCTATGTGGGGTACTGAGCTCCACTGGAGATAGGTATGGCAGCTCACAGGTTCCTCCTCCCAGCCTCTGCTTCCAGACCAGATGCTGGAAAAAGAAACCTGCCCACTACTGTCACTGTTCCTAGCTGAGCCCAGCTCCTTGCACAGCTGTTCCCCACAGACTCCATCTGGAGCCCATCTGGACCCCAGACTTAGGTTATTCCTAAGAATGGCTCTGGGGTTCCTCCTGTGACTGCATCAGTCCAGAACAGCAATGCGGTGGGTGGGTTTCTCTTTCCAGTGCTTGCTCCCAGCCAGTCGGAGACATGAAGGTGGGGGGAGGGGGACGAGGGGCATCAGGGAGAAAATGCAAGAAGAGGAAACCCAGGTGCTGTCACTGCTATCCCCTGCAAAGCTCAGCACTCTGAACAGCTGGGCTTCCCCTGTACCCAGATCAGCCAGGGTAGCAGCAATGGCAGCTAACTGTTATACATACAGTAGGAGATGGTACCAGAGCTAGAGAAGTCCAGCCTAAAAATATAACAAGTGAAAGAACAAACACTTGGAGAGGACAGGAACGAGAGGATAAAATTAGTAGTGAGACAAGTATATGGTTACACAGATTAACTGCAGATAATAAGTTTGGTCTTGATCATTATCTATTAGCCCAAGCACTTAATGATCTAAGGCCCTGTATCTGATTTCAATGGCCCCTACTCTTTGTTGAAATTGCCCATTAAATTTTACCTGCAAACTTTGCAAATTGCTTCCACAACCAATCATTGAGTTATTTACACTTACATCATTTTTGGTGGCTCCATGCAATGTGTTAGTGGGTAAGCAAATTGAAAGCAGTATAGACATAGCAGAAAGCACAGTCCTGGCCTTGCAGAACTTTTATTTTAAAAACTGAAAAGAAACCTCTCACCAACCTGTCTTGAAAATCTGCTTCCTTCTTACTGACTGTTAGCTCTGTTCTGCTCCCAGAACTCAAAAACCTACCTAGGAAAATGGAAAATATTCTTTAGAAAAAGTATCTAAATTATTGGAAAAAAAAATATTTATAGAGTTGCTTGATTTCTGTCATTCAAGTAATAGTCCTGTTAGCATCATGCAAAGGTAGTTCATGAATCCATGATCTGAACTCTGGACTTTGGTACATGAGCCAGGATAGATCTGGGTACAATGTGTACATGCACAAGTCAAATATTTTCTAAATGTCTTGGAAAATTGCAACATTCTCATGACACATTGTTGAATGAATCACAGTGAGAGGTGTCTCTAGTGGGTTATGGAATAGAGAAAGATCCCACACAGTTTACTGACTCGTTTGATGCACCTGGCTGGGGGAGTATTTGGTTGATTGCGTGATTTCACAATGATTGCACACTTAATTCATACAACACAATTTTATTTTAAAATTCCTTGTTATGCATACAACACTGCTTAGCTTTAAGAAATCCTTCCCAAACAGTGCTATAAGAATTAGTATTACAAAAACAACTACAATTACAAGTAAAGGTTATTTCTCATGGTATACTTACAATCGTAGAATTCCTAGAAACCAAATCCCCAAGGATACTTTCATTCTTTAGTTATGGTTTTAGCGTTGGTCTCAGCAGTGATAGGAACAAGTCCCCTTCCTTCGGTCCCACTCGGGCGCTCCTCAGCTTCAGCATGAACGGGAGTTCTTGTTCACGGAGAGGGTGGTTCAGGTGATCAGTCTAATCTGGTCTACACTTGCGATTCTTCCTTCCGTGTTCTGCAAGTGAGGTTACCTCCAAATTGGGACCGTAGGTTACAGTTTTTATTGGGTAAGTTGCTGTCTTGGGTCCCTCCTACCCAAACCTGTCACTACTCCCAAATTTGGGCTCAGATCTTTTACCCAACAGATTCCTTTCCTGCATCTTCTTTGGGAAATTTTCCATACCACTGCTGTGACCCCTTGCCAAGCCCTTTCCAAAAGTCCCTAAGTTTTGATCTCTCGGAATGTTTACCTAAGGGTCGCTTTTAGGTTAA